CATCCTTTCCTTCCAGATGTATTCACAGATCAGTTGTCTTGGTGCCATGAGTGTACTTCCCAGGGAAGAGGGGTTGGAGTGCAAATTGAAAACTTGCAAATCCTTCACTCCTAAGGGATTTGAATATTCATTAATAGGGCCGAATAGGAGGGTAGACAACCTTTGCAGAGCAACTCAAAATTACACTGTATAATCATTCTGCATTGCATCTGTGCCCTACCTGTTGTGGACATGTTAAAGTAATCTGGGATGTAATATAGGCATTACTGTTTAGGTAATCTCACAACACATTAATCAAGTAGTGGGTTCCTTTGGGAGGGTAGAGCTAGTTTCACGATCTTACTTGCAATATATGAATGTAAATACAGATTTACAGTCCAGCCAATGCAGTCAAACTCTGTTGAGCCGCAGGCTGGAAGAGTATAAAATCTACACTGCGTATAGGTAGTGAAATCCTAGATAATGTCTATTCTTCTCGTATCTCAAGTGAACACAGGACTACTAAAGAATATAGACTGTTTTAACCTCCTGTAGTAAAGTGAAATCACTTAAATATATCTGAACGCTCCCATTATGCCCATTTCATAGAGGCAAGGTTTAAGTGGCTGCCAGATGTCATATCCTTCTGGGTTTCCAGGCTTGGGGTTTTTTTGGTACTGTACATTCTTTCCCGTTCTTCCATCCATTGGTCTGTAATGAAAGTTACTGTTGTGAGTTTGCGAACCCCTGGCACTACGCTTGTGGTTCCCTGGGGTATTAAGGTAAACCCAGCCCTGGAAATCCTGGGAGATCTGTCCTAATGGGCAGTGAGAAGGGGAAGATGGCAGAAAAATTTGTTCGGGAAGTCTTTATAGCTCTTTGTGTTGCTTTTCCATGAAGAAAATCTGTATGTTGTGGTCTGCTAGGCTTTATGTGTGAATAACTGATGCCGCTAGATTTACACAGCTACTTTTTAGCGCTGCTTCTGTGTTAAAACAGGCCTTTACAGTCCCTTTTTATGTGGAAATCTTGTAGCTGGGTGTGGTGGGGAAGCCGTTCAGTGACTCATACTGCAGGGAATTCCCTGATGAATTAGAGTATTTTTACTTCTGGACTTGTGCGCAGTTTCCTTTAACGCTGGAGCGAGCGACTGATAAGAGCAGACTACAAAGGCCCATTCACCGTTCAGCCGCCACATGTTAAAACAGGGTGTTTATGCTTTGCAAAGCTGAAAATCCACCCCACGTAACGCGGTAGGTTCGCGGTACTTTCATCATTAGCAATCCCAGGTGCTCCGAGTGTCACAGCACCGAAAAAAAAAATAAATAAAAGGCTGAAGTGGCTGGTGGTGAAGTGCACCCGAAGCAGGGGGGGCTATAAATAACAGCGATCAGTCTGTAAATGTCAGGCTTCCTGACAAAACCCGGTGTCTTCAGCTGGCGGCAGCGCTGATGGCCACCTGTCAGTGCAGTGCCAAGCCCGGGCGTGCGAAAAAGGGGGTTTCTCGCTCCCCCTCCAGCACTGCCGCACTCTTGTGCTGGCTCTTCGGAGGAGGAGGAGGGATTCGAGGGTCCTTCTTCCAGCCCTTGGCACGGGTCCCCAGGTGAAGCCTTGGCTTTGTCGGGTCACCTGCTGCTGCTGGCACCGGGGGAGCAGGGCACTCCGCCGGGGACTCTGCAGGGCTTTTTCCCTGTGGTTCTGGGCATGGATGTTTTAGGTTTATTTCCCTTTTGTTAAAAAAAAACCAACAAAACAAAACAAAACAAAAAACAAAAAACAAAAAACAAACAAAACAAAGCAAGTATAATACCTTGACACAACTTTTTAACTATATAAAGAGGTGTCTTTCTGTTCAAAATACTGCACTATAAATCTTTAAAAAGCCAGAACAAAGCCAAGCATTTGGTTTGGAGAAGACACTTCTTACTACTTGGTAAAAGTAAATAGCGAAATGAAAGGGAATGAAATAAGGCCTTTGGAAAAGCCGTTTTCTCCCTTCTCCCTTTTCCTCCGTGCCTCCTCCTCTGCTTCCTCTCCTGCCTCCGTGTGTCCCCCCCCTTCCCCATATAACAACTGCCCATTTGGGTACGGTAATTCCAGAGAGTAAACTTTAACGGGAATGCCTGAAATGTGTCTGCTTCAGCTTTGTGTTATGTCTGTAATTTGAATTATTTGCATTTTGGAAAGGTATAAATTGCTCTGGTGTACTTTGGTTGGCCGGCAGCCAGGAGGGAGTTGCCTCGGGCCCCGAACCAGGCGGGCTGCTGCAGATGTGGCAGGCGTACAATGGAAACTTTTGTGGTCGAGCAACCCTCGCTCCTCCAGCACACGCTGACGGGAGGCGGCATCCCGCCTGCTCGCCGAGGTCCCCGCCGTATGGGCACTGGGGGCAAAACCGTTTTCTCCAGCGTAGGCAGATTGTCTTGATGCTTCGGGCTCCCACAAAACCGTTCTGGAGCCATTATTCCTTCTTTTTTTTTTTTTTTTTTAATTTCGGCTGAACTGTATAAACCTGCAAAACATGTTTACTGTAAGAGGTTGACGTAGTGGTCTAAGGTTTCCCTCCTGGAGTTGGTCCCAGTCCGTGGGCGTTGAGATTTCCCTCTTGGTTCACCAGACGTAATATGAGGAATTGTCTTCTTTTTTTTTTTTTTTTTTTGGTCTGTTGCTTCATAACAACTTTTCCTCCCTGTGTTTTTCTTAAGTGAAATGTCACTAGCTGTTAATGAGTTGTCTATTCCCCACTTCTTCCCTCTCTTCCCTTTCCCCTCAGTCGCTGAGCAGCAATGGTCTGGACAGTCTCAAGGGAATTTCTTGGAGCGAAACCCGTATTGTTCTTATTAGCTTCCAAAGACGAGGCACAGCTCTGGATTTTTATTTTCCTAATAGTTTAGATTACAGCATTTAAAATATTTCTGAACAAATTCTCTTTGTCATCATAAAAATTTCAAAAGCGCATAAAGGCAGTGCTGCGTGAAGTAATTGAAAGATTAGCTAGAGATGGAGTCGTTTTGAATTTTACTGAAGTATCGGCAGGAAATAAAAAACAGAAACCTGAATCAGATCATTCATCTTGCGAAGCAGAAATTAAACATAGCAAAAACCCTGAACTTCTGGTAATCCGTTTACAAAGGCAAATTGAACACATGTTAACTACTAGTCTGGAAGTCTGTAGATTTTAAAAAAAAACCCACCAACAAACTCTTTACAAAGCAGAAGTTCCCAGCCATTGCAAAATGTGTGATAGTGTCGGTGTTGTGTTACTTTTACAACTGATTGAATTAATTGGGGGGTGGGGGTGAGAGGGCTACAGGGGTTCGATAGGGAAGGGGCAGGAGATAAAGGAGGCTGCTCCCAGACGAGGGATGTGTCCTGGCTTGCCAAATTTTGGTCAGGTTTTTTCTACTGACAGCTCTGGGGAAACATCTGTTGGATAAATTGTGCAGTGATCGCCAGTCCTCCCGAGAAGTCTGCTTCAATTCTGGCACTCTCAAAAGGCATCGTTAAGGAGACTCGAGCACGGTCTGGCTGCTCCTTCTCTCCCCCCAGCCAAAAGTGGCAGTACCAATTAAAGGGATTCCTTTTCCAGCATCACAATTTAAAACGTAGGAAGAAACTAAGGGTAGATTTGCTAATTGTTTCCTACAGAAAGACCTGCCAAATCCACTGTGCTATTTGTGCTGCAGCTTTCAAGTTGCACTTCTTTCCATACGTTAAAAAGAAAGGGTTTTTGGACGTTAAAACAATCGCCAGGGCTAGTCCCTCAGCAGCATTCCTTTCACAGTAGGACAGCTGTACACAAAAATATTATTTACAGACATTTGTAATAAATCAGGCAGTTCTAAATGCGTCACCTCCATCCTGGCCATGAAAGCGAAGAGAGAAGAAAAAGTGCATTCACTCTTTTACCTTGCCGAGAGCTGTTTTTCTAAGGCAGGCCCATGTCTATGTGATGAAGTTCAAAATAACTAATATTTGCATTTGCATGTCCTGGTGCTGCAATAAATATACAAAAGAGATGACATAAAGTCTCATTTTCCCTTTCATTCTGGTGACATCTGACAATGGTGGGACTCATGAAGCTGCATGTGTCCCCACTGCCCAACTTAGACAGCAGTCTGCTTGTGGCCTTTCGTACACGCTTGTGTTTTTCTAGGCCTGCAGAATGGAAACCTTACGTTTTGTATTATTTTTCTAATTTCTTTGCTGTTGAGTTTTGAAGCCGCAAAGAAGAAAAAAAAAAATCTGTTATTGACCAGTGACTTCTGTATCAGTGAGGCACAAGAAAAATGACTAGACAAAACCCAATTTCTTCCAAAAGATGGGTCCCCAGAAAAGGTGATAGCTGTGGCTTAGATCTATGTTTGCTTGAAAACAAATACACTAAATTAGGAGGATCCAACACACCACTAGAAGCAGCTCCAGAGAACTGTAGGTGGGACCATTGTAGCTGAGCTAAAGCAACTTTAAAATGGAGTCAAAAGCTATGTTTCCCAGCCTATGGCCTTGCCATTTGATCCAAGCAGCAGAATTATGACAAGCCAGACTAGGAGTATATTAAAATGAAATACTACACGGCTGAGGAGCTTCCTTAATACTACTTGTTTTGTTTTGTTTAATATTGCTGTTGAATATGACCTACTGCATACGTAGTAATCAAAAGCCCTCATAGGTAGCAATATTTCTGTTTGAAAGTTTAGGAAGCTAAGGTGTAGAACAGTTGCATATTTTGTTCAAACTGGTGGCAGAATAAACTCCTGGTGGCTTTCCCCCATGGCAGTATCATACACTCTGGATTGTGGTTCCCCCCTTCAAAAAAGCTAAGTGGACTCCCGTCGTGGGTTACCCAGATGGCCTCCTGGTTGGGCAACACTTGGGGCAATGCATTTCAAGAGCTGGTTTTCATATATACATTGCCCCTTCAAAGAGATTTTTTTGGGGGAAAAAAAAAAAAAAGCCTTTTGTAGGCTTGGGAGAGGAAAAAAGGACGGAACTAGATATCTTTTTCTTTTGTCTTTTAGATGGTCACCATGTGTGGGAAATGGAAGCCAAAACCGACAAAGAAATGTGCAAGCCAGTAAGTCTGCCTTAAATATTTTAACATCAAGATGAAAAATATATATTACCTTCTCCAGCACTGTTACTAAAGAGGGATTTCCAAGGCTTTGGCACTGTGTCTCCCCACCGAAACAGAACAAGTACTTAGGCCTCCCCTTCTGGAAATCTTTCTTTAATGGAAGCGTGGGGTAAAAAGCCTTCATTGGAAACTATCCCAAAAGTAGGAGAGACCATTTGGAAAATATTTTTTCATTGTCCGGGATGGGCTAGCCTCGTCTACTCATCTTCTGTCTTACTGGGTCAGTTCTTCCCTCTGCTCCCAGGGCAATTTCTGATAATTTTCCTTGGCTTTTGTCTACCTTCGGCAGAAGAAATGTGAGTCCTCTCACAGGAGATCAGCCCCATGGTTGGAGAAGTGTGACTCCCTCAGCCATGACTATAAGTGGGAAATACAGCTGCTATTCCACCTCTGCAGGAATATGCAACAGTTTGTTAGCTGCAAACCTGCTGGAGACATGCAGGCAAACAATTTAAAAGACCTTGGCTGAATGCAGGCCAAATACTAAGACAAGCGTTCCCTTTTATTCTTTCAAAAAGTGCCAGGGGAGGTTTTGGTGGTCATAGCAGATTTCAGTGTGCATCTGTGTAAGCTGATGCACTAGCCGCTAAGTCATTCCTTAGCCTTGTGCTGGAGCATTTGGTTTCTGACAGTGGAAGATCATCTACATGCTCTCCAGCCCTTCTTCCTGTAGCACTAGGTGTTCTTGCAAGATCTGCCATCCACAGAAACTAGCATGCTTAAAACTTCCTGAGTTGTTATATGAGAAAACATTTCACTGTGGAAAATGGAAATATTTGAATAGTCATATGCCTGTCCTATTTTTCCTTTCAAAGGAAGTTGTGTTATGGTGAGATATACTGGGGATGACCTGCCAGCCGAGCAGTTGTGCTTTCTCCTGCTGAGTTAGAGACCACAATTTGATTGTGGTCACAGATTCCTGTCAGAGGCAGGAGGGATAGAGCCTTGTCCATACCCGGTGTCGTATTTGCTGTCCAAAGGGAAGAGGTGAAGGCTAGTGATTTTGTAAAGACCTGAGCTGTGCTAAAATCTTATTTCCCTACTTCTGGAGTCCTTGTCATGGATGCTGGGGATGGCAGGAGGCCATCCTTGCCCACGAAACCCACCAGTTCCCCTGCAGAGAGTGTGTTCCTGCTTGTGAGTCTGGGCACCTCCTTCTTGGGGTTAACATGTGAATTCTGTTGTAAAACTCGACTGTCTTAGCCATGCCTTGACTTTCTGATTTGTTGCTTTTGCAGAATTCATTGGTGGTTGAGATACCACCTTTCCGCAATCAGAGAATTACCAGCCCAGTTCAGGTCAACTTCTATGTCTGCAACGGAAAGAGAAAGAGAAGCCAGTACCAGCTTTTCACCTATCTTCCTGCTAATGGTAACAAAATATATTCCTTATCTCTGCTAGTAAAAACGAGAGAGAACAACGATTACTTAGAAAGATATTTGGCTCTGATAATTCTTTAGTAACCTGACTAATTTGGGGGTATACCTGATGCTATAAAATGAGAGTGAGAATCAAACCATGAGAGCTGCTGCCTGCACAAGAGATCTTCTCTGCAGATTATTTTCTTTTGTATTGGTGGCAGAAACCTGTTGGAACAAGGACTTTGTCTGCTTTGGGGAGCTGAAGAGCCCCAGCACAAACTCCCATGTGTAGCCACAAATTGTGAACGCGCTGAGGTCTCTGCTAAGTTACTGTCAAACCTCGGTCTGACTTTGTGACCCCAGAGGCTACACTGCATTTGAATAATGCTTCTGAATTCTCACCACAGCACTGTAAGTGTGCTGGGCTCTGAGCTTGAGGTGGTGTGGAGATTCTCCTTCCAGTCATCCTGCACCTCGCTGTCTCACCCAGGGTGAAAATAATGCTCCAGGCTGATGCCGCTCTTGGGTAGTGATGGAAAGCACCATGTGGATGGAGATCAGAGAGCTCCATACAAAATGTTTTGTGTATAGGAAATACACGTTTCTGAACACGTGTTCAGAAACACGTGTGCCAGTTTTTTTGGAAACTTATGTTGGTGGCTGTGAAGTGACATAAAGTCACTCATGCTAGATGAATTCCAAGCAGGCTTGTATGAACGTTTTAATAGCAAGTAAATTTAGATGTATTTTTTTTTAATTTGAAATGGCTCTTTTTCTGAGAATGCTTTTTTGAGGGTAGTAGGAAAAAAGGGTGGTTGTTTTGTTATTGTTGCTTTGGAAGGAAGAGGAATTAAAAAAATGACTAGGTTCATGCTCTTTCGTAGACTTTCCAAGTGAAAATAGTCCTTCTGAGGGAAATTCCCACAAAGCAATAGTTGAGTCATGTCACATGACTTGAAGAGACCTGCCAACTTTTTGCAGGTGAAATCCCATAAAATACACATTTAGAATTTCACCCAGTTAGCTTGCATGCACTCCAGGCTTTTATCAGGACTCTAATTTAAAATAAAAGTACAGGAAACCTGACATGGGCAACTGGCTGCTCATTGCGTATGTGCTGTATGGCTATGCTTCACTAAATCAGCCTACTTATGCAAACTTCATCCCCACTGGGTATATCTCTGTATATTTAAAGACTGTTCATCTCTTAAATTGGAAAGAAAAAGAGTTGTTATTCTCTTGCACAACACTTTTCAGCAACAAAAGTCTGTTGTAGAGGCCAACAGGTATTGCCTTGCCACCCAAGTTACCCTCGTAAGTATTTCAAATACATGCCAGTTGTTAACGGATGTTTATTAAGCAGCATCTTTCCTCTCCAGCCTTTTCATAGGCCATTTTTTACTGTTTTACTCTAAACCATGGGAATAGTATTCACTGCTGCAAAGTTTGTTTATGCTACCACCATTCTGAGTTTGAAAGATTTGACGTTTTGTTTGATGTGAAGAGATGGGAGTATCTACATACTGACAGGCAACGGAGAACCAGCCTAGGCTTTATTCTGCAAAGACATCTTTAATTATGGTAATTGTTGAAAACATTGGGAATCTTGTTTGGTCTGCTGTACTGATTTAAATTCATGTGGAATCTTTTCATTTCAGTGTAGGGGAACGTGAAAGAAAAAATGTTACACCAGAGCAGGGTAAAAGGAAGCAGGTATTCATAGTAAATATGCCTTCCCCTGTTCCTGTTTGGTTCTTTGCTCGCATTCTCTTAATATATAGGTATATGTGCATGTAGGTAATTGAAAAACATCTCACATTCTTTGTCAGAACAGTGGTAAGAGCGAATGTGCTCCTGCAATCATCAGAATTAATAGTATGGTATGTTTTTATTATGCTGCGTTGTAGCTGTAAGGTTTTGCCCTTATGCTGCTGTTGGTTGTTTCCATCATGCCTTTCAAAGATAGATATGATCACCTTCACTACGTATTCAGAAACCATGAACAATGACTGAATCAGTCATTTATGCTGCTGTATTTCTAGGAGTCATTTTAGGATGTTCTGCTTTATTTGATGTCAGTCACAAGATTCTTTTAATGTTTCAAGACATTGTAGAAAACCGAAGTTTAGCTCATGAAGGAAAAAATATTTGAGTCAACAGCACTGTGTGATCAGTGTAAAAAAAATGTAAAGGAGATAAACACTATTTTGGTCCAGGTAACACTCTGTCTCTTGTTTAAACAAATCCCATGAACACAGAAGGTGTAGATTTTTGACAAGCAAATGTCAGAGGGATCATCAAGTGTAAGGTGTGGTTTTACACAAATCAGGTGATGTCCTGTAAGCTTCTTCTCCTTCCGTGCTTTAGGACTAGTTAAAATGCTAACATTTCAGTGCTTACCATAATTTTGCAGGTATTTCAGCATCAGGGATCTTTTCACAGCTGCATGACGCACTTTAGGCATATATTTTACAGCTCAACTGGACTGTGCCAAAGCAAAATACCGTATATGGACTAAAGCCTAAATATTGTGTGAGCCCGCTGGCCGTGCTCCTGGGGTGGATGTGGGCAGGCACAGACTGCGCAACCAGCGGGAGAGCCGTGCGCTTGCTGTGTGGCTCCCACCCCAACCGCAGAGCAATAGGTGGTGTTTTTTTTTTTTCCTGTAGCTCCTGTTTTTCCTCATTCCCTAGGGGAAAACAGCCAGTGGATCCAGGGACACATGGCCTCACTCATCCCACCTCCCGTGGACAGTCCTATAGCATCTCCATGGAGTACAGCTCTGTGAAATGCAGCCGGCACAAGCTGCCCTCTCCGGCAAAGTGTTACGGTTTCACTGCCGTAAGGCTTCTCCCGTGCTGCCGAGATATGGCAGGATTGTACATTTTCCTGTGTTAACTCAAGTGTTTTGCAGAGCAGGGACTTACTTGGTGAAGATGAGTTTCTGCTTCAGAAAGAAAAAAAAATACTGTAAAAATGAAAATCTTACTGCTCTGTAAATGAAAAGTTTAAATAACAAAACAAAACAGAAAGTAGAGGCTTCACAGATGAGAGCCAAGGTCTGGAAAATGGGCTTGCTTCAATCTTTGGCTTGGGACAGATCGTAAACCTAAGAACTCATAATCCACTTTTAATTGAAATTTTGCTTTACTGTTCTGCTGAATTTGAGCAATCCCCGAATCCTGTATTAGCCTATATTGTACAGAAATGACTGTAATGTAATTTTTTTTTTAGTATTGCTTGGAATCCTGTATTAGCCTGTATTGTACAGAAATGATTGTAATGTAATTTTTTTTTTAGTATTGCTTCAATATTATGCATCACTGAGCAATTGCATATCAGTTTTGTCCTGGAGCCTGTGGGCCGTAGGCTCTTGAGACTCCTACCCAGACATGCCTGGCACAGAAATAGAAGTAGTTTCCATACCATTCTGGCACAGGTGAAATCCCGCAGCTCGCATGGTAAGTACTGAGACGGCTTTGCATTGCCGCATCCCGTCAGAATGTGAGGAGGAAGGCGCAGGAGCGGATGCTGCAATCAGGAGTCTGAGCAGAGCGCAATGAGCAGACGCTTGGATATTCAGCTTTTAATGTCCCTCTACTGCTGCAGCTCCTTACAGGTGTGCTCTGCGGCTCCGTTATGTGCAGCAGAACATTTTGAAAAACCATTGGTGAGCCCTGCATTTGTGAACCCTGCCCTCTAGAAAAAACGCTTGGTTTTCATTTCTGTTTATGACTGCGTATCGTTTTGCTTCTATGAATTTATTATACCATTGGCCCATATATGCATTTCAAACAGGAGGAATAGTCTTCTGAAATCACTAGACATAAATAGTAGCATTTGAGGTATGAACTAATCTGAAGAGGCTGAAGAAGCACACGAGCAACCAGACATGCATGCTGTGGTTCCAAATCCTGTGCTTTCATCTGCTAAGAAAGCTGAAGGAGTTCTCCAGCTCAGAAGACTTTAAACAACACACTGAATGATAAGGGTTAGATCTCTGTTTATTCAGATTTCTTTTAAGTAGGTACATCAAAATAGAGGAAATGTGTTCAAGAACTTATTTTTCACAGATAGGAGCAAGTGCTTTCTATGATTTCTGTTATCTAATGAATATTGATATCAAGAACCGTGAACATACAGAAGTTTTTCTTTGAATTTTATTTAGACAAGTAGTGATATTTGACTAAGCAAAGACAGGCTAGTTTGTCTAGGAAATATTTACTAAAATGGAAAAAGGAAAGTTGATGTGTTTCTTTTACTGGAATGAAAAATACGCTTTTACAAAGAGGTGATGATAAAGTATTTCTGGTTTCTGTTTCTGTCAGGCTTCTTAATTGTCAAAGCATTATTAAAAAATCATTTCACTACTACTAGTATTTATTAAAATGGTGTCAATATGCTGGGCAACTTTTGTTTTGAGATGCATTTCACCACCCTTAGGGCCAGATGTCCAAGTGCGCAGCCTTCACTCATAGACCCAGCTTTCCTGCAGTTTCTTTACCTCCCTGCAGGCACCCGCACAAGTCCCCAGGGTGCTGAGCTCCTCTGAAAACCTGGCCACGTAGACAAGTGGCTTGGTGGGGACAGAGGTCCTTTGAATCTGCGGGTACGGAGCTGTGCTGAGAGCCTGCCTGTGGTGACTAGATGTGCCTTAGTATTGTTGTTTACAGCCTGACGGCGTGAAAGTGAAACTCTCGGTGTGCTTCTGAAAAGGGTGAGCGGTGCCCGCTGCGCATTGCTGTCAGCACCCGCCTAACTTCCTGCCTCTGCTCTAAAATTATCTCCTGCCTGCCCTACAGATGAGTACGATCAGCAGTTTTCTAGTGATTGCACTGAGCAGCCGTGCCTGTTTCACCTCGGCTCTTCTACCCACAGCTCACTTTCTAAGTTAAAAGGCGACATCATCCCTCTTACCAAAAAAACAATAAAATGAGGGTGCACAAAAACCAATAAAACAAGGATGCAAAGCTCTGAGACAGAGCACGGCTTTTGCTGATCATCTCCTGA